ATCATGAATCCTTTACATTGTCTAGTAACATGAGAGTATATCTTAGAACCTATCATGTGCGTACATGTCAATTGAAATGGGCCACTTATCCGCATAAAGTTTCTGAGCAACTTGAGATTTATCACAAATTCATCACATGGAGGTCTTGCTGTTTACCCATCTCAGTATGACTTTTATGTCCACCTAGATCATGCCTCGGTGAGTAACTCACCTTGTTCCCAGTATTGTGGTTGCCCGTGAATTGGCCTGATATGGCAACTTAAGAGTTATTATGGCAAAAACATGTCTAGCTCACGACAAAGTGTTCATTCTCTCTAACTAATACATGATTTCATCCCAACATTAAGATGTCCTAGTTACATGATTCCACTTGTGTTAGATTGAAAGTTAAGTAGCCTTATGATGAGCATATTGAATTGAAAGACAAATTCGTCGTATCTCTAGTCCTCTCACATAGGATCAAATATTTGCAAAGGTTAAGCTGTGGGAATAATAATAATCTCACAAGTGTTCAACTTCTTTTCATCTTCGTAAGCTTGTGGTATAGATTCCTTGTGCTAGTTAGTGTTAAGAGTGTAATGCAACTTTGTGTATCTTAAAACCCATATCATATTCAGGGTGCTAGAATATTCTCATTTCGAGTTAAACTGATTTTTCCTACATACCAAGAGGTGACTGGTGTCACATAAGTGTTAGCTCTCCTATTTCCAAATAAGGTACGAATAGAATGAAACAATTGTTGATGTCCTTTTCATGACCCATTTCTTTTAAATCTCAAAATCATGAACATTTTCCCTACGTTATCAATGCCTACTAGGCAACTCTATGACTCGTTTGTTGAACCGATAATGTCACCACAACGAATCACCATGTTAGCGCTATTGGTAGTGACCTTTATGTCTCTTAGGATATAACCTCTTGAAATGCCGTGCTCAGCACGTTGATGGATTCTTGAATAATTCTAGCGAAATCTCGAACCTCGTTGTTCCTGTTTGTAGTAAATCTATTGAGTATTGTAGGTTCAGGCATGTCAAACAAGAAGCATCATCCCGTGATCAAATATATGGGATAGGAAATTGTATGGTCATAGTCAAGCTAGCACATATTAGAGAAATTGTTGGAGGTTGCCAAAGGTTTAGTTTGGGTGTTCGGCGTGGAGATTTAGAGTTGAAGAAAGTGAATGGGTTATTCTCAATATTTTCTGCATGAGGATGCTATGTGAATTGTTAATAAAGGTAAAGTATGTGAAGTCACATTAGGACTTATGAAATTTTGAAAGGAAATAGGCTAAACTATGAGTATGATGTTTCCCTATTATTATTCTCCGTGTACCCGATGTTTCATGTGTCTATGTCTAATAAGGTGAAGATAAGGGATAATGGGATTGTGAGGAGCAACTATTTGCTATCCTTGTTAGATAAGTCCGGAAGTTAAGATTGCCTCAGTCAAGTGCTATGGCTAAGTCTGTGAGTCCAGGAGATCACCTCATAGGCCGAAAGTGTTGAGAAAAGGAAATATTCTCACTTGTTTGTAGAGCCAAATGGTTGTGGTTCAAAAACGTACCTTCTATGTATTATGGTTTAAATGTGTACATTTCATGTAAAGATACCACTTTTGTTAATGTAATGCCCTAATGTTGAGATATGTGTTGTTGATATATACTGTGTTTGTTGAGTAATTGGTATATTGTTAGGATTGATTTCTGGGATTCTCTGACAGGTGGATATGCCCAGTTACAGGGAAAACTCTGTTGAAATTTTTAAGAATTTGTAAAGTTAGCCAAATCTTAAGGTCCATAAGTAAGTTGAAGTTTTGGAAAGGAAGTATAAGACCCATATAGTCATAAATGCCTATGTATAATGGCTGGGGGTAAAAGGATGGTAACTCTATTATTAGAAGTGACTTGTGAAACATTCGGGGACGAATGTTCTTAAGTGGGGGAGAATGTAACACCCCGGAAAATTTCGAAGTACTTAAGCGCTATTAAGAAAGTCGATGTGCGCTAATTATATTATTTTATGTGTAGGCAAGGACTATTATATGAATGATATCAATTGATCATGATAATATATGTATGAGGTGCATTAAGAATGGTTTATGGTCTAAGAAGGGCCCCAAGGCTAAGTCAAGTTGAAAATTTTATGATGGGATAAAGTTTCAAGTGAGTTCGCACAAGACCTAACTTCAACCGATCATACCTCTCTTGATATGAACAGTTATATGGTGAATTATCTATCAAATTAAATCCCTTTGAGTCGTGTTTCAACGAAAGATAATATGCCAAATTGTGTAAGAAAATCTCAATATTCTTAAGACTCTTAATTGCTCATATGTGTACCTAAAGTCTTGATTTGGAAATGTCTTATTGTTGATAATCTATAAAGATGGTTGGAAGTGAAATAAGTTAATTGGGGATCTAGAGTGTGCCCAACGTGCCAAGAATTTATGTTATGATTGTGTCTAGTAGTGCAAATAATTTGAGAAGATGCGATAAAGAATATGAAATAAGCCTCGACTCAATTGTTTAAAAATAACTTCGAAGATAGAATTACCTAAAAGCTTTTGTACTCAATTCATGCCCATTAGTGGTTGCTTTAACTAGTGTTTTACTTTATAAATATATCTAGTGTGATTCGAGTTCTATATATTCATGTGTTGAACTGGTACATTGTCATTGCTAGGGAAGAGCATTGTAAGAATAAATGGTGTATTGATTGTTTATGATTTTCATGTGTGTTTCTATTATTGGATGGTATGCCTCATTCTTTGGGAAGAAACCATTTGTGTTTGAAGTTTCCATTTCAAATGGATTTGAAGTATATGATTTCTGAAATATCCTATATGTTGATACTTGATGGTGATCTTTGAAATTGAAAGAGGTGAAAGTGTGAAATATGAAATACGGCCATCGTGCTAGAAATAAAGAATCTTGTGAATGACCTAATGAGCCAAGAAAATATTATCGTTGTGAATGACTGGGAATACTAATGAGAATTTATACAATGTGAAAGATGTTGAGGTGAGTACAATTGTATTTATGATATTTCTGTTTGCAAATCAAATCCAAAATATTTTTGGGAGCATCATTAGCAAAACCGAGGAATGGTGGGTCATAAGGCCCACTCCTGAAACTACACGTGCCGGTGTAGGGGTGGATTGTGATTATTCCCCTTATTTGGGATAAAATTAGAACCTTTGGAAAATTGTGATATTATTCCTCTTAATTGGGATGAAACTGGAACCTTTGTGGATTGAAAAAGTCAACCCGTACGACATATGTGGGAAGGCGGCCTAGCTGATCGGGTGGAGATCAGACGCCATATTGCGCATATGGTGGTACTACTCTTGGTAACAACTTTCTTTCGCATCACATGTCAAACCACATTGTTCGTGAGGAGATGGCCTAACCGATCGGGCGTGATCGGACTCCGTGCTAACAAAGACAGTGGTATATCGGTGCTAATGATTTCCCAACCAAAATTGTATATGAAGTTCGTATTTTAAAAATTATTATGTTTTAACGGAACATTTGGATATTGTTGATTATGACTTGCTGTTTCTATGTATTTCCTTTTCTTATATGGGCATTCTATTTTGAAAGAGGACTTTTAGCTATGCATACTAGTGCTATTCGACAGTACTAACGTCCCTTTTGCCGGGGTGTTGCATCTTTAATGGATGCAGGTGGTTCTACAGCAGACGACATTGATCAGTGATAGCAGCGCACTCTTTTCAGCTGATTTGGTGAGCTCCACTTCATTTCGGGGTCATATATCTTTTGTTTCTCATGTACTGTGTTTTGAGGTATAGCCGGGGTCTTATTGCCGGCATCTCCATACTACTCTTCTATTATATTTAGATGCTCCGTAGACAGGTTATGTGTTGTGGTTGAAGTTGAAAATTGAACTAGAAATGTTGGTATTTGGAAATCATATTTTTCATTAATTCTATAAACTCGTAATGTATTTTTTGGAAATTATGAATGAAGTTGCTAATGGGAATGAAAATAAAGTTGTTAATAATTTTTTTTCAGTGATTGATTAATGGAGTACATCTCCTCTTTATTCATAGATGAGTTTGGGTAGAAGGAAATCTAACAGGCTTGCTCGGCAGGGTTCTCTCGGTTGAGCGCTGATCGCGCTCCCCGAGTTTGGGGCGTGACAAATCCAAGATGGGATGGCTAAGGACCGAATGCAGCCACTCTGCTTGTCATCGGAAAGGATAACGTTCATAAAGGTGTATTAAATATTTTGCGTCCGGTAGCATTTACTAAGGAATATTCTGTAACATTAAGAGCGACGGTTCGTTACAGAGAATTTGAAATTTATGTTCACCGTTACATCTTCATCAATGACCCTCATAATTGACATGAAATGAGGGCACGATCCTAGGACCTTTTGCCCTAGACATATCTATAAATAGTGAGCTCAGCTACTATTGTAGAGGACACGAATTTTCTGACTAAACTTACACTATATTCTATGCAAAAGCTTAATATAATCTTATTTACTTGCTTTTTGATCTCATCATTGTTGTGCCCGGAAGCTTTGTTCCCGGAACTGTCATCTCTACTGTTTCATCTATATTTCAAGGCTAAGTATTATATATTTCTTCAATTGTTATATTATTTCAGGATCAAATTAATTCACTTGTCTAGAAAACACGTATAAATTTAACTGTACCGTTTTACAGGTAAACACCAACATAACGCACTTTCTTATAAATTAAGATTACCAATCATCCCATTCTTGTTTTTTCCCCTACTATGTTTCAATTAGAATACTTATTTCATACCCAAGTTATAATTACTTTGCAAAAATCGATTATTTTTCAATTATTAGTATGAAAACTAGTTTATTACCTTGCAGGCCTTTATTTTTTTTCACAAGTAGTACAAAAGAGCAATTACCACTCCTACATTTAAAAGGATTAATTTGCCAAAAAATAAAATAAAATAAGTAACAGTTGGAAAGTACAGTACTGTTTTATCTGAAAACACAGTCCTAACTCATTTAGGTTTCAGGTTTGTCCCGTCCCTCAGGTCAGTCAACTATCTTTAATACCAAGACTTCGCTAAATTTAGTCTATACATTCCAATCCCATTGTCTGGTCAAGAGCTAAGAGGAATAAGAATTGGGTCATGGCCGGAGATTTTAGCCGCAGGTCGCAGGATTTCATGGCTATGTTAAGGAACCTATCACGTGAAGAGATTCTTGATGTTTTGTCTGAAGGTTTATGTCCGCACTGCGAAGATGTTATTGAGGCTCGTGTTTACAATCTTCATCAGAGTAAGTTGTCCCAGTTATTCTATCTTCGGATCTATCAATGGATTTGTATATAATTTTTTGTTACAATTTGAATTTAATTTCAAAAACTTATTTTTTTAATTTGTGATTATCAATTCTTTGATGTTCTGTTTGTGACACGACATTTTTTTGTTTCTGTCCTGAATTTATTTAAGTCTCCTCTTCTAGCAGAGCTTAATCTGTCTATTGAATAAATTGATTACAGTGCCTGTATGTTTTAACGGAAGATACTAAAGATTCCCTCATGAGAATATTTTACTTGCTAGTATTGAAAGAACTGAGCTTTCTCTTTGAATCTAAGGAATGCTTTGGACAATATCCTATGTAGCATGGTTCTTAAGGAATATTCAAATTCAATCTCGAGTTCCTGAATAGAAATTGAATTTCTGAGTAATTCGATTTAAATCACAAATTAGGATTTTTCAGACAGAGAATCTATGGAATGGTTACAATATATTCTTTCTTTCTTTTCATTTTTTTTTGGGTAAAATAGGATTTTTAGAGTGATTCGTCTTTTGGTACAATTCAACATTCACATAATTTTCTTCTAATTTGTATGAAAGTTAGATGAAATGTCTTTATCAGATGTTAATGTCACAAAAAGTTCTGCAGAATTCTTGGATGGAGAATCATCAGATGATGTAATTTCACCAAAGAGAAGGCTGAATTCTTATGCTCATACACTCAACTCTTGGCGTTCTCCGCAAGTTGTCGAATCAACTTACTCAGGAAGGCCGAAGGTACTTGTTACACCTTCATCGATAAACAACAAACGACCAGTGTTCAATCATTCAAATTATGAGATTCCACTAAGTGATGGACTTAGTAGGTCAGTCGTAGGCAATGGCTTATCGGAGGAGCAGAAAGAGTTAAGTAGATTTGGCCAAGTTGGTAGACGAAAGGATTTTGTTTATTATGAGAAGGTCAATGGAAAGGAGACAAATATACTTAAAGGGCTTGAGCTTCACACTCGGGTTTTCAATCCTGATGAGCAGAGGGAGATAGTCGAATTTGTTTATACACTTCAGAGAATGGGACAGAAAGGGCAGCTTAGAGGTAGATACTAAAGTTTTTATTCAATCTTGTTTTCTGAATTAAGGCTATCAGTATGCATTTTTCCATTAATTATTTCTGGCTCCATCTAGAGTAATAGCTAGAGAAATGCGAAGAATGTTTGGAAAGCTACTATATTGTTACTTTCTTGTATTTGTTGGTATAGGATACATGCATATTACATCTAGACTTATATGAAGTATCAAGAAGCTTTTTTTATTTTTATTTTCAGTCAAAATATTAGATAATGAATGTCGGCTTATAAAATATAGGAAACATATCTGTGAAATCTGAAGTGCATTCTCTCAGTATCTATGATTGTGCAACCCAGGAAAAGGCTAAATGAGATAGACAGATATATGAGGCAAATAGATTCATCAGTTTTCTAGTTGTGTTATAGTTATCTGATTAAGAAAGTATATTTTTTTCAATACATAAGCTAGGTGATTTCTTCTTATTTGAGAACCATGAGGTTTCAAGTTCAAATCGCAGTGAAGGCAAAAATACTAGGTGATCTCTTCCCATCTGTCTAAGCCTTAGTGGACGGAGTTACTTGGTACATATTTATGGTGGGAGTTAGAAGGTATCCCGTGGAATTAGTCGAGGTGTGCGCAACCTGGCCTGGACACCACGGTATAAGAAAAGTACTTTATTGCCTTGAATTGTACATACTGTAGGTTGTTTGTCCCCCAAGGTTTTGGTCTAGCTGTAAGAGTGCAACGCGTGATGTATAGGTTGGGCGTACGTCACGGGTTCGTATCGTGCCATAAACAAAAACCTAGTATTTAAATGGAGAAAGGTAGATGAATGGGACCATCATCCACCGAGCTTCGGGCCGTGTGGTGTTTACCCTCGGGAATTTCTTGGTTATAAAAAAAAGTACATACTATAGGTTAAGATGTGAGGTGGAAAATTCTCTAATCCTGATATGTATCTTAATTCTTTGTGGATTGACATTAGAGAACACATTATTTGACTACATTGTAATATTTCAGTCTCCACTGAAAATTATCTTTTGTCCAGGCTGCTATGTAGAAGAAGAGAGATAGCTATATCAATTAACAATGTTGCTCTCTTAAAAAAAAAAAAAATGTTTCAATTCACTCTCTTTTTTGGTTGGCATTTTGCAGCGCGAACATATTCTGAACCAAGAAAGTGGATGAAAGGAAAGGGTCGTGTCACAATGCAGTTTGGTTGTTGTTATAATTATGCTGTGGTAAGAGTTCTCTAATTGATTCTTTGAGACACATGGTTATTCCTTTTCAGTTTTATATCAACATTTATCCACTGATCCTCCTTAACAGGACAAAGATGGTAATCCACCAGGCATTATTAGAGATGGAGAAGTGGATCCATTGCCTCCTTTATTCAAGAAAATGATTAGAAGGATGGTTAGATGGCATGTTTTGCCTCCGACATGTGTTCCCAATAGTTGCATTGTGAATATTTATGACGAGGGTGATTGCATTCCTCCTCATATTGACCATCACGACTTTGTTCGACCTTTCTGCACAGTATCTTTCTTGGCAGAATGTAATATACTCTTTGGCACAAGCTTAAAAATTATTAATCCTGGAGAGTTCTCTGGTCCTTTCTCCTTACCTCTTCCTCTCGGGTATGACACCACATTCTTTTTGCTCTATTAAATTTTAATACCTTATATGATTCGGTCCCATCCCAAGTAAAACTTCCCCATCTGCATTGCCTTGTCACGTTTGTGGTGATTAAGCAGGGAATGCTATAGAAATATGTACCTTTCATTTTCCTCTAATTTTGCATAAATGTCTAAGAAAGTGAAACAAAAGCAAGAGAGTCTATCATAAAATGTCTGGATTAATTATTGGGTACATCAAGTAGAGATAATTGAACAAACTTGGTACTAGGAAGTTGCGCAAACCTTAATTAGTAACCTTTGTTCTATCATGCAGGTCGGTGCTCATTCTCAATGGTAATGGAGCTGATATTGCTAAACATTGTGTGCCTAGCGTTCCAGCTAAAAGGTTGTCCAATTTTGTCTCTTCTATGCATGACATCAATGTGGCATTTCTCATAAGGATATCGAATGATCAACTCACCATTGGGAACATTAACCCGAAAAAGACTCAATTGTTTTTAATGCAAACATTAAAAAGATTTCAGAATATATTTTTGTTTTAGTTTTTTCACGAAGTTTTTGCAAAAGATTTTCTCAAAAAGCTGCTTTTGATAGAAGTGATTTGATGATGTTCTCAAAGAATAATTCTTCTTCCACTCACAACAAGACTAAATATTCAACAAAAAAATATTAATAATTGTTCTTAAAAAAATGAGTAATACCACTACCCAGACAAGTGTTTTGCATAAAAAAAATCTCCATATCAAAAAATTTGTCTAAAAGTTGTCCAAATGGCTCCTTATCTTATGCAATTGTCTTGTCTATTTCACTGACACCGTCATTGTTATATTCTTTATTGCAGAATATCCATCACTTTCCGTAAGATGGATGACAGAAAATTGCCGTTTGCATATACTCCTGACCCTGAGCTTTCAGCAATTGAGCCTTTTGTTCCTCCATCATCGGACAAGTCAAGAATTCAGCACCACTTGAAAGATGGTGGAAATGACAACCATGATAAGTCAGAATATCGTGCAGAAAGTGGTAATAAGGGCTTCTCCAATGAAGATGAGTTCCCTCCTCTGGGAAAAGGGAGTTCTTCCAACCGTAGAAGTCAGAGATAATTTTTGCAGCAATTATGATGAATACTACATAGAACATCATTGTAACTTATAAGCATAACATTTGTTGTATGGTCAACGTCTTACCTTCGTCATAAAAGTTTATCTGTTGAATCCTAAATTTGAAGTTTGTATTTAATAATAATTAAGTTGTTTCTCATAAATGATTGACTAGTTTGTTTGAGCCGAAATAAACATTCTATTACTAGTGAAGCTTCTCCTATGACCTCTCTCTCCCTCTCTCCTCATAAGAGAGAAAAAACATGCCTCTTTGAGATATTACTCAAATGGACCTATATTTTGATTATGTCATATCAGTGCTTTGCAACATACTATGATGCCCAATATCTGATTGTAAAACCGCCTCATTCCCATACATATGAGAGGGTCCCTCCCCAAGCTAATGCGGACAATTGTTTATTTGTAGTTCTATCCGGACAAATGTCGAGAGCCACCTTTCCTTCAGTATGCTGTCTCAGTACCGCCTGAAGTGTTTACCTTTGCATATTCTGGGAGACAACAGGTAAAATGCTTTTACATTAAGCTTTCAACATCATATCATCTACAATTATAGCCAGCGGGCCTTTATTGATGCTGCGGAATGACCATAAGGTTCAAATTTGACATGGAAATGACGTTGTGTCTCAATCTTCTGGAAGTTCTTTCCAAGGTGGATGAGAGAGGCGTTTCTTTGCTAATCATTCTTGAGTACCCTTTGCTTCTTAGGATGTAAGCATAAATGTACTGGCCTGCATATGTATAAGGTCTTTCCTCCTCTTTTTCTGCTTTCATCTCGATTAATCAGTATCTTTGAATAAGTTTCATACTGCTTATAACTTAGCATGAAGTAGCATCTGTTGTTTTACCAAATATACTTAAAAAATGCAACTGTCAGCTGTATGATTCTTCACTTATGGCATAATCCTAACATCTTGTTCAGGTCATGTAGATGCCATGGACATTGACCCAGAGAACGTGAACAGATTCTTGGATGCTTGTCAGGAACTAAAGGTTGGATCAATTTCCAAATATGAGTATCTTGGCTTTTTTACTCCTTGCAGTCTGAAGCATAAGTTGATACTATTATTGTCTCTGTGCTATCAGAGATGATTCCTATGCTGTATCTTTGAGTGTTGACATTATTGTTCGAGTTGGTATATCAGTCATAGTTGTATTTGGAGAACTTCTAATTGTTTTGTGGTTAAGCCATTGTCTACGTCGTTGCTATAGCTTACTCTAGTAACCTCGTAAAGTTAGTGTCTGTTTCCCACTTAATTATTGCTTCACGATCATTCTTGATAGATCCTAGGGTGCAACCATCACCCCAAACGATGCACGTACATTTATTGTCTGAAGAAATAAGTGAATTTAAGACCTAAGCTTTTACTTCTCCAAGGGCTTCACTTCTAACTGTAGTTCGTAGCTGAAACACAAGTTTCTCACTGTACCTTTTCCCCTGTTTGCGTACCCTCCCTTTCCATATGTACATGTATATATATTTTGGGTTACAGATTCTGTTGACAATCCTGGATATGATTGTTTATTCGACATTAGACGTGCTGCCCTAGATTTTTCAAAACACTCTTAGATTTGGAGAAATGGTTGAGCAACAACTTGAACACATATAGAGAGGTATCTATGAGGTTGTCAAGTGTCGCATTTTGGTCTCAGCCTTGAGGGAATGGACTGTTTCTTCTTATATGGTCTTGTGAAATCCGCACCTCATGGTATCAGGGCTCGTTTTGAAGAATCAACTGAAACGAGGTAGTAACATTTTTTTTTACCAGAGCCCTTACTTAGGTTCTTTTGTTTGGTAAACACATATACAGGCATACGAATCAAGCCTTTCTTCTCTTCTCTACTTCTCCGGTTCTTTAAGATGATTCTCCTCTGCCATGTGCCCTTTATGCTCCGGAAAGATTACTACAGTAAGACGACTATATATTTTGTTGTTTTCTTTTTTAGTGTTTTTCTTCTTTCCATTTTCTTTTGTTGTGGTGGGGTGCAGAAAACGTAGTGTAAAATGTACTGAAAATCCTTGTGTCAGTGGTTCGATTCCACTTCTAAGCAGGCGAAAGGTCCAAACCGTAGCCAGGAGCGAGCCGGATTTAGAAATGAAAGTGAAAGAGTAAGCAATAAAATGTAAGCACTCCTGCACTATACGGGCGGCTTTTTGGCGGTAGGGTTGGGGTGGCTTGCTTGAGGCAGATTAAAAAAAAAGGCGGTTGATTACTCGGATGGGTTCTCGCATCCCCATGCCCATAAGGATGGGCGAGTTCGGTTTGAGTGTTCATCGATCGGGTGGATCTATATGCTTCGGGGTGGTGAGACGAGGTGTAGCGCAGTCTGGTCAGCGCATCTGTTTTGGGTACAGAGGGCCATAGTGTAAAATGTACCGTGAATGATTAATATTTTTCTAAATAATTTAATGCTGCGTCAAGGTGGACTCTTACTGCTGGATGATGAAGTAATTTGTTGAAGTTCTGAACATGCTTTGTCACTTTAGAATTGTTCTCTATGGAAGCTCAATCCATTGAAACCTAAACTTGAGAACTTTTCCTCTAAATGCATATTCTTAGATGTTTGCAAAAGAGAAGGATTGTGTGTTTGTGGTGACCAGTTATATTATGTCTGTGTTAAGAAGTGACAAAATGGCATGAATTAATTTCTTTTGAGTGTTTTTGATCATGATAGTTTAGCCTTGTTAATATATATTTTTTAAGGTGATATTTGGAACTTTCAGAGAACAATTAATTTCCGAGCGCATGAAGTACAAGAAATGACACTAGGTCGAGATACATGAAAAAATAAAGTTTTGTAAAATAATATAAATATTATCAAAATCATTTTTTGACTAAATAACAATACATGAAAAAATAAAGTATAAGTTTTTGTGAATGATGAGTGTGAATCCTCGTACAATGATTTGGTTGCCGAAGTCGAGATAACGTCTTAACCTACAAATATGAACAATCAAGGTTTACTTAGATACATGTGATTTTTAATGGGAATTACTTAGATACATGTGATTTTTAATGGGAATCTTACAGAAATATTCTAAATAAGTTTTAACTTACCAACCTCTAGTCATTAGTCATAAACTTACCAAAACTAACCAAGCACATATAAAAATTGAAAATTCAAATAAATAAGGTTCTTTCTCTCCAAGAATCACACGCAAAGATCTCTTTCCATATTTTTAAGCGTGATCGACAATATTAGATGCAAGACGGAAAGAAAATTTCATGGATGAGGTAGCAAACAAGATGATGAAATACAAAAATATACATATATACAAGATTCCAAAAATCTAAGCAAAAAGGGACATTTTTCAATGGGTATGGTTGAAATTCATTGAAAACATATAGATGAGTCAAACATACAAAATTTGAGGAAGATTGGAGGTGATGTGGACTGATTTGGTATCAAAATTTGTAGTTAAAATCGAAATTCTTCTGCGACACATGTATCACATATGCATCTCACACACAGGTATACATGAATATACATGGATACACATTTGGTATAAATATGATACATATATGATACACAAATGATACATAGTGTGATACACATCATTTTTTTCATAGTCATCTTCTACTTCGAATTTTCTATTCAAACCACCTCAAAACTCTACCAAATCATCCCAAAGCTGAGATTCAAGCTCCAATCTATTCTAATAACACTCACTCAAAAGAAAGCAAAAATTTGACCTTATTTTTGCTACAAATAGCTAACGGGCTAATATTAGTAATATTTTATGAATTTGCCAATTTATGTAATAAGCTACTTATAAATGGATATAACTGGTAGTTTCCCATTTTTAATTACTTTTTTATTTTATAAGCTAAGTAGAAATATGTGATTCAACTTATCTCACCAAATTTTCCTTGTAGATGATATTTCTGATGTATTTTTTTTATTTGTTTATTCATATTACATACCTGAGTTAGTTCACTCTTACAGGCTTACTACATTATCGATAGTCATTGGAGGATTATCTTGGGTTGCTCTATGATTAGCAATTTCTATATTTATAAATTAACTGTTGTTCTTCATTGGAAAGGATAACAACTCCTCGGTCATTTTGTAGGATGCAAATTTCATTTTTTTTTATGGCTTTTCGACCAATCCTTTATAACATTTAAAACATATCAAAATTTGATAGTTTGTTCCCACCATAATGGCATATGTATATCTCTAGTGATCAAAACTAATATACATATCAAATATCCTTTCATGATCTTAATCGGTATTAGTGTAAACCCAGTTCTTATCTTACAATCTAAAAGATTATATTGTATATAATTTTATACATGCTACTAAATTGTATACAAACAAACTGATTATTTTATTTGATAAAAAGAATAATAAAATTAACCTTTAAACAAATTTTATATATTCTGAATGCAAATAAAATATTTTGAGATCATCACAAGATAAATATTTACGGTGACAATTGTAGATGTAATCTTGCAATAAAGCATGGTAATCTCACATGAGTGAGCAAGTTTACTAATAGTAAAATGTCATCCTTTCGATTATTCAAGCATGACTCTACCACTTTGTTATCAATAGCCAGATCCTTTTTCTTCTTCGATTAATATTAAAATGTTTATAACATGACAGCTTCACTTCCACGAACAAGAAAATCTATCCTATTATTTCCACGTGTGACTCCTAACATGGATAATTGTTAATTAATTTATGTAATGGCTTTGATTATGCGCTGAATAGTGGGTTCATATCGGGAATTACGAATCTGGATTTCGGTGCAACATACTTGCAAATTAATGTATATATGTTCTACTAGATGAGGTTTTATGCACGTGCCCAACATTTGGAGTTACATTTAATCGCTACATACTTTAAATAACTACAATTTCACAAACACAGAAACAAAGTTCCATTCTTGGTAAAAGTCATAACATCTAAGACTGCCTATTAGTCAGAGTATACATATTCCGAATTTGTTCGGAAAAATGGAATTTTGCTCCTTTGAAATTACTGTTGAGGTTTTATTTTTTAAGATGTAATATTCTTAAAATGAGGGTGAATGGGAAATGGAGGGAAAATAAAATTTTGAGTAAAATTTTAAGTTTCCCCCTCTTAACANAAAATGAAATTTTGAGTAAAATTTTAAGTTTCCCCCTCTTAACAATGAGACATTGTCCCATATTGGAAGTGGAAGACATTTTTGGTGGGTATATATATAATTGCTCTTCTTGTAGCTCTTAAAGAGTTAAGAAGAAAGCAAGCCTCGCGCCGTCGTCGTCGTCGCATGGCTACGGCTACGGCTACGGCTACGGCTACGGCTACGGCTACGGCTACGGATTTGGATTTGGATTTGGTCAAATGATCGATCGATTGATTAATTTTTTGGACCAAATTTA